TTCAGGCTAACAGATTGCTGGGCTACTTCTAGGCTTTATGACTTGGGCTTTTAAGAAACACTTGAACTCTTGAGATTCTCCTAGTTTACCCTACAGAAAAAGCCTCCCTCATGCTGCTACACTGCACCTTTGGCCACTGGTGTCTAGCCTGGGGAATTATTGGTTGATTGATTAGTCCCTATGCTAGGTAGAGCTTTCCAGAGAAAGAGAAATGTGTGTGTATGTATGTCTATATCTCTTAATCTTCTGTCGATCTTAGCTTTCAACCTATCTATGTATCTATCCATCATCTATCTCCTCTATGTATCTATCATCTGTCTATCTATCCATCTATCTATACCATTTCCCAGAAAACAAGACCTAATCAGAAAATAATCAGTCTTGAAAAATAGAGATAAAAAATGCCAGCTCTGATCAGCGTCTTCTTGCCTTCCCTGCCTTACAGAGTTGCCACCAAGGGAGTAGTGACGGCAGATGAGGTTTCCTGGGGATGCTACTCTGCAGATGAAGAACAAACAGCACAGACAGTGGTGTTTCTGAGACAAGTTAAGGGTGAGAAAAAAAAGGTCAGGCGAGATGTTAGCCCTCAGTCAGGTAAGGATGGGTGGTTAAGACTTAGAGATGGGGCTACTCAGGAGGCTGAGGCAGAAGGATTACAAATTTGAGCCCCACCTGAGCAACTTAAGATGCTGTCTCAAAATTAAAACTAAAAAAAAAAAAAGATCTGGAGGTATAGCTCAGTGTGACAGCCCTGCTGTGTTCCACTGACAGTAACACACACACACACACACATACACACACTCATTCACACGCACAGATTTAGAGATAGGTGGACAAACACATTTGGCCCCCAAAGCTGATGCAGACCTGTAGGCAGGGCTGCCTAGCAGGTTGAGCAGGACCCTGAATCTGAGGCCCAGGGTCAGGGACCAAAGGCCAGGATGGATGCTCAGTGCTGCCATAGGCTCAGGAAGGGCCAGGCCACAAGAGTGGATGTCAGCCTGCACCTTCTCAAGGATGTGGGTGGAACGTCACTTGGTGTTGGCAGGTGCTTCAGCCAAGTCCTAACCCTGCGTTTGATGCTCAGCACTGTCCACTGGACGTTGGGCCTGGCCCAAGTGACACACATGATAGAGGGTGAGCTCAGGCTCCCATGTTCAGTAACTACCAAGCTTCTGGAAGGCTAGAGATTTCAGTTTTTATGTCACATCCTTTGCTTAACCTACAGCTACTACTGATTCATTTTAGTTTCTTATGTACTACTCCTGGGTCCTTAGGACCCATAAATTTTATTAATTTACGCTAAATTTTTATTTGTAAACACATTACACAAGTATTTGTAACATAAAAAATTAATTCTCAAAACACTTGGAACAAAGTTTCTTACAGCACTGATTACAAATTGGTATTTTACAAGTGTCACATTGGGTAGCAGTTTTTCTGTCCTTGCTGCTAGGGCATACGGTGCATCTTTTGCTTTTGTCAGTAGGTCATCTGGGTTTTTCTGTAACAGTAATCTAGTCCCAGGATTTCTACTATGAGTTTTTGTACTTTTGTGGGCACTTTTTTAGTAGTTATTCTAGAATGCAGATTTTCCTCAATTAGCTGCATCCCAAGGGTTTTAATAAAATCAAAACATTTTACAATTTCACTGCACTGTGCCAAGTGGTACAATACACAGAAGCTAATGCCTGCAACAGTTAAAATGCATAAAAAATTGCTGTGGTCAATGGTTGGTTCTTCTTGACATTGAATACAATGTACATTTTCCATTAAAAGGGTCAATTCCAGATTTTGTGTCATTATAAAAGTGAGTAATTTCAAGTTTTTTGTTTCTTTGTCAACAAAATCGCTGTGGTGCAAACTTGATATTAACATGCCACTTTTATCTTTATTTGATACATATGAAACTAATGTGCTGATAGCAGAAAATGCAAAAACTAATGACTGAACAGTTCTTTTTTTTCTACTAGGTAAAAATTCAGGTGGTATAGCCCTCTTATTTTTTTCAGAGTGCTACATCAGTCAAGTTTTTCTTTTTAAATTCATCAAGAAGTTCCACTGAGCCATACCAACTGTTGCCTGTAGTATTTCTTCGAATACCGCCAACACACTCCCCAAGCCTGAGAAGCACTGCTGGAGGATTTGGTGAGGTGAGTTTGGTTGTTTTAGCTGTCTACCTCAGCACCAGCACATATTTCTGCATTTAGCAAATAATGAGTCTTAGCCACAGGCGGAATCTGTATTTTCCTGCCATCTTTAGCTGGATTGTTAGGCATAAATGTTCTAAAACCGCATTTTCCTCGAAATGGCACTAGCATCTCATCTACGGTCATGTGAAATCCAGGAGAATGGCATGACTTTGACCTGCTGACGAATTCATCACATAAGTCGGAGACAGCAGCTGACTTATTCATCTTGACTCTCTCTCTCTCTTCTAGTTTTGACATTATCAAATCGAAGGTAACATACTAAAAATGAAAACTGAGCCAGACTCGGAGCAGTGTGCCAAAATGGGTCTTCCTGTTCCATCTGCTGCCCGCTCGAATGGCTGTCTTCAGGGCCAGACTTAAAAACCCTAAAAACCCTATAGAAACTTAGTGCTTTGACACCAGGAAAAAAAGTGATTCTGTAGTTACTACCAGGGGTCCTCAGCACCCAAAATATCCTTCCTTGTAGAATCATAGACACTGAGCATGAATCTCCTGTGTGGTGGATCAAGCACTCCCCATCCTGGGAGACTAGAAAGGCTGAGTTTGCAATGTTGACAAATTAAGGAACACAGCCCTTGTAAAGACACGTTGGGTCCTTAGGACCTGTTGCAGTAGCTGTGGGTTAAAGTTGGATCCATCCTCTGGAGGTGCTGGGCAAAGCCCTGACCAGGCTGAGGACCCTTGTCAGGCTTTAGCTGCCTCCCCTGGACCTCCTGCTCTGGCCACACACACTTCACTGCTCCTCCCTCAATCTGGGCATTGCTGCGCAGTTCCAGCTCTTTGGAGGTCTCAGCTGCCTTCAAGGCCTGGGCAGATAGCATTTCCTCTCTGCTCTGGGCTCTTTCCAACTGCCCCAGAATGCCTCACCCCTGCCACCCAAGAATTCGCACTTGCATACTTACAATTCAGACCTACTTAATAAACAGTTAAAAGGCATGTGATTCTCCCACTTCTTAGTCTCTGCTTCACCTCTGGCATTGCATTTGGAATGGCAAATGCACTGCACCATGATATAAACCTGCTGAATGACCAAATTAAGGATGGCCTAGGAAATGGTCTCTTATCTGAGTGAGCCTTTGGAGAGGAATTATGCTCGGATTCAGAACTTCCAGGGAAGCAGCTGTGTCTGATGTGCTAGGTGGGGCTGTGATGCCTGGCTGGGCGGGGGGGGGGGGGGGGGGCAGCCTGTCTCTCCTAACCTGCCCTTAAAGGAAAGTAGGCAGGGCAGTGTTCACAGATCTTCTGTTGACTATAAATAACCAACCCAAATGGAGGGAAATCCCTGGCACAGGTAAATGCCACCCTAAATAAAACTGAGAGATACAGCTCTTTAGGTCTCACGTAGGAGTAGCTAATGCCATTAGAAATCAAGGAGAAAGAAGAAAGGAAGACAAAGACAGATGAAAAGAAATGATCCTGTCCTTATTGAGGAATAATTGAAACCTACTTCAGAAGAACACCGTGGTTCTAGAGAAAGTGGCTTTACTGGAAAGAATTTAAAAATTCAAGTCTTCTGGCAAGGTTAGTTTGAAAGCAGCCCTAAATCACACTGATTGAAATACCACTGGTGGTTTAGGAAATGACCTGGGCTTGGCCTGCTCGTCTGTGGAGTAGAAGGCTGTGACCTTCCTCTGACTCAACTATGACATAACTAATATTACTGTGAGCTGTTGATTTAATTCAACATAATTATATCCATACAATCACCTACCAGGTCTCTTTGAAATTTGTTAGATAGGGTAGAAGGTTTTGGAAATTCTCAGACCACTATTTAGTTTCAAGATGATTGATGTGATAAATTTAAGCTCTACTTACATACCTCATTGGTGCCAAATCGGTTTTTAAAAAATTAGGCAATACCTTCTCAAGTTAAAAGGAGACAAATTCATAGTACCAGGTAGCCAGCTGCAGAGATCTCAGTAATGGTAGGAATGATGAAAAATGCTGTTGACAGTACCACAGAATGCTTCAGACCTCCTGTGAGAAGCTCATGAGCTTTGAGTTAGTTTTCTCAGAGAGCTGCTGGAGTTACGGTTTATCCACAGCTCAAGCAGTCTCTGGAGGTCCCAGGAAAGTGCACAGGAACTGAGGGGGGCGGTGGGGCTGGGTGGATGTGTGGAAGGGGAAGCAACCAGCATACTTTCGAGACAGAATCCAGTGCCATGAACGGCAGAGACGGCGTGGTGTTACTGTACTTTAAAATTTAAAAAATAATTCTTTTTCCTTCCAGGGAGTTTAAATGCCTCTTTGGAAATCTAGTAATGGCCTTAAAAATTTTACTGAGGGAAAAGAAGGAAGAGGTTGAAAAAGAAGGAAGGTAGCACAAGGAAGGAAATGCTGTGTGTATGTCCTTTCCTGTCTTCCTCCCACCTTCCTTTCTCCCCTTCTTCCTCTCTTCTCTCCCCTCCCTTCCCCTCCCTCTGTTTACTCTTCAGCAGGTGGGCACTCAACTGACCTCTGAGAAGAAGGGACACAAAACTTATTGGATTTTTTTAGTTCTTTCTCTCTTTGTGTCATAAAATGAAGAAAAAACCCACTGAGATCCTGAGGTCATAATGAAATCTTGATACCAATGGGTTGTTTATTTTTGTGTGTATTAACTTGTTTTTCTTTGATACCAATGTTTCTCAAGGTAACTCAGGGCATCTTCCTGTATTTTGACATATCTAAGCAACATAATCAGATTAGTAATGATTTTATATAAGAACTGGGCTTTGTGTGACCCTCACATGGCCTCTGGCAAGAAAAAGAATACCTGCATCCACAAAATCATTTTCTTACAACATGTAAGAATAACTAGTATCAATTTTATTCACAAATAAGAAAGTGTAACAAACTACTTGTGTAGGAAAATGACAATTTACAAATTCCAGTATGCAAAAAGTTATAATGAATTCTAAATTGATACAAACTACCTCAAAGCAATGTCTTTGTTCCTTTCATTTTCCTTTCTTTTTCTTTGCCAGCACAGATGGCAGGGCTTCATCTAAGTGACAGCAACATTCACACTTTATCTAAAGTAGAAAAGTCCATATTTTAGAAATATGCTCCATATACATAAAATTTAAAAACCATGAGTTGCTGTGGTTATTCTTGAAATCCTTGTAGCTTCTGCACCGTGTGAACCAGCAAAGATGCCTGGACTGTAGATCTCTCCAAGTGGGTGTCTCCACATGAGCGCAGTAGCAGCAAAGCTTATGGTGCAGGGCAGAGGGTTCCAATAATGGGAAATGCAAATTGGATTATTTTCTCAAGTGTTCATAAAGAATGTAAAATACAATACTATTATATGTTTCTAGAGTAGGTAGTGGTAAGGTGTCTCTCCATTTGATTAAAAAAAAAAAAAGCACAAGAGTTTTCAAATGCAGTATTCAAATGAAATCACTTTTCAACCCTAAGCCCTTCTCTACTGATTAAAAGTGATGTTTCATGATTTGGGGCCAAAGTCTCAATCCCATCAGTCTGGCTTTCTTAGGAAGTATCTGTGTTTGAAGTGAATCAGGGCTGTGCATATGGAAAATATATTCAGATTACACAAGGAAATACCACCCTACCGACTTTGATCACCCCTCTTGTCATAATAGAGATGATCAGATTGCAAACAGTGACACACACATGTAAACTGTAGGGAAGCCACTCAAGGAAACTTGACTTGCATTTTCATAAATGCCTTGTAGTCAAATCCTAAATATTTTATAAGAGTTTCCTAAAGAGAGTTCTCATAAGAGTTGGTGACTACCGAAGTTTAAGAACCACTGCCTCATGCAAAAAAGAAAACGAAGAGAAAAAAAAAAGAAAACGTCAGTCAATTATGACTGGGCAGTAGGATGGTATCAAAGATTCTGGGCTTCTCATTTCCTACTTCTGGTAAAGGAATTGAAATCATCGAGACGTAATCAGACACAGGCAAACCACTATACCCACATTAGCACCTAAAATTATGTGGACAGAAATGGCCACAGGGAAGAAAGAAGGCTCACCAAGTTTTACTAATCTCTTACAAAGAGAGAAAATGTTGAGGTTGTAAGTGAGAAGATAAAAATGATGTAAGAAAAACAGATTAATTTTAATTTTCAGTTTAAATGTTCGTTAAAAGATACCTACCGATTTGGGCAGGGAAATTTGCAAACAGATACCTTAGCGGCCCTTTAACACACGGACATGTACATGTGCAGGTCTGTTTATTTTTGTAAGTGTACATGTGGCAGAGCTAAAAGCAAGCAGTTAAAAGACAAAGGCAAAATCTAATCACGTAGGTTGTAACAGGAAAATAACTGTCCTGCTCAATTAAGTCTTCTCTAGGGCATAAAGATGAAGAGCAAATGAGGCATCCCCTGCTTCATGACTGGACTGAGTTCATTTTTTTTTTTTCGCCTGAGGACAAACTGGTGCAACATGCAGAGATGGAATACTTTAACAGAAGCCTCAGACACTTATATCCAACATCATCTGACCACAATAGGAGATTATGTGTTGAAAAATTCTCCAAGATCTGAGGGAACACAGTAATGTCCTGGTCAAAATGTATTTTGCTAGTTCTCCTAAATAGCATCTACAAATTGCGCTTTTCCTTCTGGTTCTAATATCAAGTGTATTCTTGCCAAAGACTACTTCAGTAGTAGAGGAACCTGATATGCTGAAATTTCTAAAGCCTGTAGTATAAGATACAATGCAAACAAGGTCACTATGTGTATAAATGCCTCTTTTCTATAAAAGAAATCCTGGACCTTCTACACTCAGACCCAGGGGCAGATGTAACAAATGCTTTTGTGTCAACTCATTTTAACACGTCTACACTAACCTGTGCATCCACATTCTAGAATACGTGTGTGGTGTTTTTTTTTTTTTTTGGTACCGGGGATCGAACTCAGGACCTTGCACTTGCCAGGCAGGCTCGATGCCACTGAGCTAAATCCCTGGCCCTGTTAGTGGTTTTGAAATCAGGGTGAAGGGCTGCCCTTTCCAGACCACACTGCGTAACCCAGGGCCCTTTTCCTACCAGCACTAGTGGGCATCCATGAGCTAGAGTCCAAGGTCAGAAGTGTAGGTTCTGGAAAAGCGCTGTTCTCCTCCAAAACAGCTAATTCCTGGTTAGGACTCTTGATTTCATCTAATAAACCTAAGATTGAGGCAGGTGGTTCTAACCAGTTCTAACCACCTAAGCCAATTAGCCTCAGATGATGAAAACATGATCTTCCCCAAGAGTAATACTCATTTTTGAGCCCACCCTATACAAAAAACATCCTGAATCTGACATGGACTTTTAGCAGGATAACAAGCTGTATACGATTAGTTTTGGAAAGAAAATGTCAGTGACAATTTATACTCCTGGTCACCAGTCTTGTAAAATCATACCATGAAAATAGGCACAGATGTCCTGCTGTGTCTTGTTATACGTCCACAACTGCAAACTCAACTCATCAGTCTTTGAAGTCACCCTTGTATCCAAGAAGCTTTTTATTCAGGGAAGATGCCCAGGATTACCAGTCTGCCTGGGGACTTTTCTTGCTTTTCAGTGAGGTTTCAGCTTACAGCTGGTCTGGCTCAGAAACAACTGGTTGAAAGGCTGAAGGCTAAAGGCTTAAACTGCCGTCAGTTTGGTTCAGATTTATTTTTCCCCCAGAAGCCTTTGCAGGGTCCAGACTGCTCAATCCATAAGTGTAACGGGGGGTGCCCTTTATGATCCACACACATTTCTATTGCTGGAAGATGATGGCCTTTAGGCTTCCTAAAACGGCAACAGAAGGAAAGCTTCAAAAACAGTACTTTACAAGTTAAAGCTGCTACATTATAACTTGAAAAAATTATTATGCATAAGTATTATTAGTACTATCCACAAATTTAATAACAATGGGCAAAGAGCTCATTTAATGGCATCCCCATGTACTCTGAGAATAAAATGAAAGTTTCTCTAATAAATCATAATTGATCAATATTTGCCAATGTTACTTAAAAGATGATAATGTAAACTATAGCAATCACAAGGAATTAATGAACAATTCTTCTGCTGATTTTCAATCTCATTTAAAGCTTGTTTCTTCTCTACTGGGCTCCTTTAAGGCATTTGTAGGTAATGACTATAGGATTCTGTATGCCTTTCTTTCAAAGAACAAAGATGATAATAAATAGTATCTTCATCTGCCAATTTAGTCTTTACATTTAAAATTTCTACCAAATTACTGAAGGGCATTTGGAAATAGTTTGGGGATGAAATTTCTCTTATAATGATCTTCCTGGAATATTCAGAATCTTCATAGTGCAAATATCCTTAGGAAAGTAGAACTGTTTGACCTGCCCTTATTACAAAAGGTACTGACCTTACTTCAGGAAGGGACAAGCTAGAACCAACTGAACACCACTGGAAGGGAGTGTGCTATGGTTTAAATAGGCAGTGTCCCCAGTGCAGCAATATTCACAGGTGGGGCCCAAAGACATGGCAGTGCTAACCTTATCAAATGGTTAATCCAGGGATGAATTCATCAGCTGAATGGGCTGGCAGGAGGCGGGGCCTTGCTGGAGGAAATACGTCACAGAAGGCATGACTGTGAAGGGTGTATCTTTTTTCTGGTTCTTCCCTTGACCTTGCTTTCTGGCTGCCATGAGAAGACCAGGCCTTTCCAACATGATGTTTCTGTTTGGAGCCAGCCAAACATGGACTGAAACCTCTAAAACTGTGAGCCAAGTAAACCTTTCTTCTTTTAAGTTGTGTATGCCAGGTATTTTGTACCAGCAAAGAAAGGTGATTAATACAGAGTAAAAGCTTAATTTCATGCATTAACCATCCACTAATTTATTCACTGCTAACTGGCACCAATGGCATAGATATATTTATGGAAAAAAATCTTTCTAGGTCTAAAGGTCTTCTCTAGGAATAAAAGCTTCTGAAGTCCTTTCAGAATGATAGGAGGTGGTTTTTATCAAATATGTTGATCAACTGATGTAATAATAACCACATTAACCCCTATAATGAAAGGCAAATTAACCTCACTTTGCCAACATGAAAAAAATAGAGGTTTTAACAGATTGGAAAACTAGAACCCAGTTCTCTATCTTTGTTAAAATTCTTTCTATTTCTTTATGTTAATATTTAAAATAATGGTTAGAAAAATAATGTCAAGAAACACTTTTTCTCTGAACAGGCTGCCTTCATTCTCCCAAATATCACCACAAATAGTGCCGCAGAGACCTCAGCTCTGCCCCTACTGGTAAGATATGTAGAGGTAAAATTTGATTATATTCAGTTATGCAGACTAAAGAAGGGTCTCACAGCTATTTGCTTCATCCTGGACTGTAACTATCACAATCGGATTCTGGGTGGTCTTGAGCCAACCACAGGAAAGTTTGGTGTAAAAGTAGTTTTTGGAAACAAACACATCACGCATTCAAAATCATGGCCTTACACCAAGTAAAGACAAGTGCCATTTTGGGTATAGCTGTCCCTTATAATTCCCAAACAGAAATACAACATCCTGAATTCTGAATGAGCCCTTGTCACAGTTAAACCTGGATTCAAGGAATGGATAGAATTAATGAGAAGCCCTTGTTGCTGAGGTCTAATTCTTTATAAGAAGTAAATGTGCTCTCTACCTTGAAAATGAGTCTGTTAGGGGGAAATATAAATTGCTTTTTAGAGTTTAGTAGTCTGAAATACCAAAAACTAGTTAAGTTAAGCACTTGGCTGACCCTTGAAATAAAGAAAAGGCCCAAGCTCCCAGAGGTTTGGAGCTGTTACTGCCTCCTACTTTCCTTTGAAGATTAAGGTTCATTTATTACATTTTACAGGTTCAGTAGATCCAATGAAGAGAGAGTGCTTTTCAGAATCTGGGAAAGATTATCTCTGAAAATGGGCTCAGGGTTGGGGATGTAGCTCAGTGGTAGAGCACTCATGAGGTCCTGGGTTCCAACCCCAGGAACACACACATACACACACACACACACACACACACACACACGACTCAAAAAAGTACTTAGTGTTTTTCACTGTAAGGGAAAAATTGAAATGGTTTACAGTTTAACAATTCCCTTTCCAGATTCAGAATTTGAACCTTAAATTTACTTGAATCACCTAATAATTATATGATAACACATCTTGAAAAGTTAATTAAACTGTCAATAAATTATATTGTGCAAACTGAATTCAACATTTTCTCATTAGATGCATTTTAAATGTAATTACAACTTTTTTTCATAATGATTTGTGTTGAAAATATCTTTACATAGATCATGACAATTATTATAGGTTGTCTTTGAAGAGGAATTAATATGTCATATAATGCCAATCTTAGGTACTAAATCCCTATAATAATACAAACAGATAAAGGTGGACAAAGAGCTAGTGCTGATATGTTTTGCTGTTCGGATATTTCACCCCTTCATCTCAGCAATTTATATCACACACTTAGGGACAAGCTGCAAATCTGAGGTGAACAGTAATTCTCTTTCCTGACAAAATTCTGAAAAGCTGTCGCTCGTCATCTGGTAACACAATCACCTTTGTTACTCAGACTTTCCCTGACAATGGATGTACCGAGGATGCAGCAGGTCCGGATGAAGCTGACTCACTTCGGGGAGCTGGAAAGGCATTCGGTTCCTTGGCTGCTGAAGGGGTGGACTCCTGTGCCCTCTTTCCAGCACGCTCTTGGCTGGTACACAGGAACCGTCACCTGCTTGTGGGTGCCGGGCCTTCCTGGCCCCTAAGTTTTGTGAGGCACAGTCCGTTCTTGAGACTTACACCTAGCTGGGAAAATTCCTAAGTTTTTTCTTACTTGTGATCATGAAAATTATACATTATTATACAAAATTAGAATGCCTCAAAAGGATAAAATCAGTAAACAATCTTTCTTAGCCACAAGCAGAACTCAGATGTATGTAGTTTAAGTTTTTTACCCTGCCCAATTAGTTTTACTTCCCTTCATTTACCTCTTTGTATTTCCCCCATTTTGAGACCAAAACCAGTTTTTCTTTTCCTCCAAAGCCAACAAAGGTTTTTTTTTTCTGTAGAGTTTTCTATGAATCCTATAGAAAATTTCTTTGTAGTTAAAGAAAGGATGGCAGATTTGGATCAACATGTAACCCAGGTACTGACTATAAAAAGTCGACCTCTGCATCACCCCAAAGTGTGACTTTGGCCTGTTTGTGATATACTACAGTGGACCCTTGACTTATGAACTCAATTCGTTCGTGAGGACTGGTTGTAATTCAAGTCGGTCAATTGAAGGCTCAGACTCCTCTACACAGCCTTCAAAGTCTCTCTCCTGTATAATTTTAGGCCACACTTTCCTCCAGGCAGCTCTCAGTGTCCTTGGAGAAACACTGGCCCAGGGTTTCTCAGTTAACCCCACACAGGAAAGGACGTGGTAATGCTCCTTCCAGAGCTCATTAAGGATTAAATCTGTATGAGATCATCTGGAAGCACAAGTGGCTGGCATTCAGGTCGTAACTTTGGTCATAAATTAAAACTAAAATTCTGGTCGTAACCCACGTTGTTTGTATGTCCGGCTGGTCGTAACTCAGGGGTCCACTGTAATTGGGTGAGGCCACAGTCTGAGCATGCACAGGGTGTTTTCAGAGCTTGCTCATCATCTGGGGTCCGGACACAGGGCAGGAAGGCCCGAGCAGTCACAGCCATGCTGTCTGTGCAGGGCAAGGTCTTGCGGGCCCTGGGTGCTGATCCTACACATGCGACTCTGCCCTTTTCTTCTCAAGGCTGACCTCACTGCAGAACTTACACTAACAGCATATACACTTTGATTTACGGAACTGCTCCCAAGCACTTACACTGAATTCAGCAAAGGCCACATCCTCACTGGAGAGAAAACAGAGGCAATACCGGGTCCTGCCTGTCTCCAGCTTTGACAGGAAGCCCCCGTCTCTCTGCACCCCCCACCTTCCCGATCTTACCCTACTCCACCCAATTTTCAACTCTCCTTTCTGGGAGGATCTTGGGATGGATTTGGTCCCAGATCACAACTACCAATTTCCAACCAAATTGATCAATCAGTCAAAGCAGATCATTCCAGAAAAGAACAGTACAAGAGGAAAGAGGGAAAGGAGAGGCTTTAGGAGACCTAAATTCTGATTAACTTGACAGTGGATGAAGTTTTGGGCATAAGAATATTACACACAAAAAAAGATCAGGATTATTTTTAAGATGCTCCTATATCTAACTCATGTCTCTCAATCAGGGAAGGGGACTACACCAAGTAGTCACACTTACAGAGAAGAACGGAAGAATGCAGCCAACTTTTAGGGCCTTTTAGATTAGCTCTGTTAGTTTAAAAAAATCTTAAAATTTATATTACAACATATTTTTCTAACGAGTGCAAGTGAAAAAGCCTCCCCCCCACCCCCCCGCCCCTCACCCTGCTTTGTGGTGGTGGGGACAGAAGCCCGGGCTTTGCATGCTAGTCAAGCACTCTACCACGGAGCTTCACCCCAGCCACATTCCCTAAATTCACAGTGGGATCAGAGCTCCAGTCCCCTGAGTACCAGAAGTCAGTGCATTGCTTGTGCTGAAGTGAGGCTTGGCCTTACCTGGAGGGATATGGCTAGGCCCACAGGCTCACTGCCCTCTGGATCCAGCTGGCTTCTAGTAGGCAGTGCATCCTGAACCAGTGTAGGCTCTGTCACTGTGCTGCTGTGTCTAAGTAAGTCAGCAGTGTCTGTGAAGTCTGCAGAGAGAGCTTGAACTGAAACAGCTCCACAGACCAAATCCTGACTACTGTTTGAATCCAAAGATGTTGAGCTTTCGTTTTCTGGATCGAGAGAATGAACCTCTTCTCCAGTGAGTTCAGGATAAGAGTCACAAAAAGAGATGTCATCACCACCCGTGGGATTTTGCATCAGAGGACAGGCGTCGGAAAACTTGCCACAGACGGAGCGTGACAGGGATGCAAAGAACATCGGCATCGTCTCCCCGACTGGAGCTGCGTTTCTGAGCACACGTTCAAAGAGTGTTTTATTCTACAGTGAGAAATAACCCTACTCCCAAGCAGCACTTCAGCTACAATTTTAAGTCTTCTACAGGAAATAGCAATTTGTGAAGTCAGAATTCTAGTGGTTCCTGCAGTTATAAACTTGCCTCAATATGGTGAGTCCAATTACTACATTTGCTGTAAGACTGACTTCTATACTTATTTCTCATTAATATTCTTCATCCAATGTCTGACCCATGGACACCTCCAGTTTCTTAGGCCTTAGCTGAGCTTTTTTCATTGTTGTTCTAAAATGTGAGAATAGTATGTCACCAGTATGTGTATGTTAAACACTATTTACAGATGACAGAGGTGTCATGAATGTAAGACAAAATCAGTGGAAAGAAAAGTATAAAGAATGTCGCACTGGGTGTCCATGTCCTTGAGAGACCCATCTAATTCTTGCTCCCAGAACTGCCCCCATCCAACATATAGAATATCATGAATGATACTTAAAAAGAGGTGTCCCCGTAGTTTCACATGAAAATTGGTATCTGAGTACAAGGAGATGCAGAAGGGAGGAGATGAAATTGTGAGTAGAAGTGCCCAGTTACCTCTCCTGAAGGGTGGCCACAGAATGCACCCCACAGCCCAGCACCGTCCGGTCAGTGCCACAGGTCCCCTCACAGCACAAGGACGGGATCAGATGGACGGGCCCTGTGGAGCCAGCAGAGTGTGAGGCCCAGTGCTCTTCTTCGGGAACTTTCTCCTTAATGCCAGTTTGAAACTGCTCTTCTGGGAAGGGTGGCTACTTACCGTAGGCCTGGGCCAAGTCCTGGTAGCACTGGCAACATGCCCTGTGAGCATATTCGCTGAGGTGGGGTCTGTCAAAGCACGACAGCTCAGAGCCATTGTACTGGATGTCCTGTGATCTCAGAGACCCTGGAGGAGAGGTAAGAGTCCTGTCAGGGCACCCGATTTCCTGTCTAAGGCGCCCACATTGACACCATAAGGCAGCCTGGGCCTAGTCTAGCTTTTCCTTTTTTAAACAAAAAGTCAGCCATCGTTATAAGTTTTGGTTATAGATGTTCCTTGAGTTACAGGAGAATTGCGTCCCACTAAACGTGTAGTAGGTCACAGGTATCGCTTTTAATCTGCCTAACCCAGGGAACAGCCCTGCTTCCCTTCAACGTGCTCACAACTTCCTATGAGGCGGCAGCTGGGCAAAATTGCCCAACACAAAGCCTATTTTATAACACCCTGTTGGAAATCTCACGTAATTTTTTGAAAACTGTGCTGCAAATGAGAACCAGAGTGGCTGTATGAAGTTTTATTCAAATAAGCATGAAGTGAAAGATTGTTCAGCTGAACCTCGGTAAGTTGGGCACTGGCTGAAATTCTCCTTGTTGGGGGCCCAAATGGGAAATAATGGTTAAGAAAGCCCTGAATGCAGGGTATTTTATTACCAGAGCTTAGAATGATTTTTATTTTTGCCTTGTGGCAAGGGGAGGTGACAGCCTCGTCCATGTCCCCATGCAGCCTGCCTTCTCTAGTGAGGTGTTTCCGTGGCCTCTACTCTTGCACAGCTGCTGATACCTGTCCAAGTCTCCCATCAAACACTTGAATGATGATAATAATAAGTGCACTTCACCCAAACCAGGAGAAACTAAGTGGAACTGGAAACTCACAGCTGGGTTTTTTCTCCATGAACTGTCTCTTACAGTAGATGACGCAGAGGATGAGGAGGGCCAGCAGCACGGTAGCCAGAGCACTGCAGATGACTGCAGCCAGGGCTGTGTCCCGAGGGCTGGAGGCTGTGGATGCGATCTTCACAAGGTTGACCTTGCTGGTACCTAGAAACCACAGGAATGGGATCAGCATGGGCCGAATGACCCGGGATATGCAGTGCGAACACCAGCATCCACAGGCCTCTAGCAACAGCCTTCATGGGATGGAGATAAAACCAAGGTGGGAGATTAGAACATGCCCAAACATGCCTTCCTCTTAGAAGATTTTTTTAACATCACATCTCTGTCCTGCACCCCAAAATATGTTGGCAGTATCTCCCCTAAACTTCCACAGTGACACAGATACACAGCGCTCAAGTCATTTTGCTGCAGAAATCTGCCTTTAGTCCTCTAGATGAGAAAGCAGGGCTCTGTGATCTTGACCTTTGTGTCCCCACACCTTGGCAGTGTTGGGCGCAAAGTAGTTTTGGGGTGAAGGAAATTATCCCCCCATCCTCTGAAGACTCACATGACAATAGACTAAGAGGAGGAAACAGGCACATTCATTCATTTATTCATTTTCTATATCCTTTTATTGGTACATTTTAGGTACACAATATAATGACATTCATCATTGGAAATTTGCACCTTTACATAGTCTCTCTTGGTTCTTATTTTTCCCCCTCCCCCTGCCCTCCCTTCAACCCCTCCATCCCTCCCTATTTACGGAGACTTTGTTTCCATTTTTCCATTTTCTCATATTAATTCCATTCCCTTCTTTCTTTTCCCCTACCCCTCCCACTTCCCCTTCCCCTTTGACCCTTTTCTTCCTATTTCACATTATCTATTGCACCTTTTAGTCCTTATTTACACTTTCAGTTTCTCACAGTGGAGAAACTATTTGGTATTTACACATGTGTGTTCTATTTATTTCACTTAAGAGTATCACCTCACTGTGCATCCATTTAGCAATAAATGTCTCTAATTTCTCATTTTTGATGGCTGAGTAATAATCCATTTTATTAAAAAACCACATTTTCTTTATCCAGTCTCCAGTTGATGGGTATTTGGGTTGTTTCCAAGTTTTAGCTATTACAAATTGTGCTGCTGTGAACATGGGTGCACATATATCACTGCGGTATGATTCTTTTAATTCTTCGGGGCAGATCCCCAGCAGGGGTCAAATGGGACTTCCAGTCCTAGTTCTTTGAGGTATCTCCATACTGATTTCCACAGTGGTTGCACCAGTCTACACTCCCACCAGCAGTGGAGCAGGGTTCCTCTTTCCCCAGGCACATTTATTTTTGCACACGGGGGCAAGTGCCCAATAACCCTACTGGTTCAGACGCTTATGTGCCTTTCTCCATCGGGAAGAGGGAGATGGGGATATCGGACACTGTGGGGGGGGGCACTGTGGTAAATGATTATTAGGGGTAGGCCAGGAACTGAATGGGATCAAAAAGCAGAACAATTCTCTTGACAAAGACTATCCAGGCATAGGGACGTTTCTCAGTCTCCATTTCTGCAACAGGAGTTTAATCTTTTCTGCTTAATAAAATCTCGGGCAGGGGATCTAAGTTCATTGTGCTCCCAAGGTGGATGGGTCTGTAAGTGGATAAGGGAACTTCAGAGAAGAGCTGTCCTATCCTAACACAGGATGACTCCTAGGTGCCTGAAAGTTAAAATAATCAGCATGCCAGGGTGCTGCATTTTGGGGGCCATTTTCTGGGCTCCCTCAGTAGGCATTTAATATTTCTTATTTCCTTGGAATTGGGCTCTTTTTAGGAAGATGTAACAAATATACTCACCTGTAACAGTAAATTGTCCAGAAACATTTTTAAAAGGCAAAATTAATTTTATATTTTACTTGACCAATATCTCTTAGCATTTCAACATGTATTCAACAAAAATTGTTACTGACATCTTTTGAATTCTTTATTTTCTACAAAAATCTCAAAATCTGGTGATTTTACGAGGCAGCCCGTCTCACTGCAAGGGCTCGGTAGGCATGTGTGGCTGATGGCCACCACCCGAGCCACACCTGTGCAGCATGGCACCTAAGGGCATGCAGCTTGTCATCCAGTGCCTTTCCTCATCCCAGCCACACATCCCCCAATCAACAAGGCTGGTCTCCACTGGATGGCACGAGTTAGAACTGCAGAGAAACATGAGGGTTGACATTATTGAATTATGAAAGCAGGACAGCTGGAACTATCATTTTGGGGTATGAGTCCTGGTATTTTCAGTCTCAACAATTCTGGGCCACACAGATAAAAGTTTCCTCACATGAGCTGCATGCCTTAGGCTTGGATGAATGGGTGTCATAATTCAATCATACATTTTAAAGGACATTTATTTGTAACCATGTTTAATATTCATTTTTGTGGGGCTGGAAAATTGAACCCAGGGCCTTTGCACAAGCTCTATCCCTAGGAAACCCACCAGACTGATCTTGAACCTGTGATCCCCCTGCCTCAGCCTCCTGGAGTGCTGGGATTATAGGTATGTGCCACCAACCTGGATCATAAAATATTCTTAATCACTTATAACAGTATAGAAATACTATAATAATCAAATAAAACATACTAAATGCTCATCATACAGCAAGTTAAATAAATCACACCCCTGACCTGATAGAGATTAAATCTAAATTTCAAACGGCTTTTATCAGTGGACAGAGTCACAAAAGGATGTGTGGACACAGGGCCAGTTGTACAAACACTGACAAATAAATAACTGAGTAGAAACTTACGTCCCGTGCAAGTTAAAATACCAAGTCACATTGAAGGGAAAGTGACTCAGAAATGGAAGCGCTGTGTCTTCAGGCAAAAAGATGAAGTTGTGGAAAGCCATCATCCCATCATAGTTGTGCACTTCAGAGTGAGGACAGGTCCCTTAGCTTAAACTGCTGGTCAGATAACTCAATCCTGCACAGCAACAGCTGCCGTCAAAATGAGGCACAAGGCATGATGTGAGCAGATCGCAAAGTTCTTACACTCTAACTGTTAAGGTCATCCACTGGTCAGCATTGGCTATTCAGAAAAATCCTTGCAAGAATAGAGATTTCAGGTAAAGCAGTACCCTTTGAAAGTTCTTTAAGTCTTCACTCTTCAAAATCCTTCCAGAATATATTAGTCAACTCGTCTTAACACAAAAGGCATTGCTTCTAACTTACAAATGGGTTAAAATGTCCTCAAAGTGGGGATTTCATTTTTAATTTGGTAGTTTACAACTCAGTATTTATTTTCTCAAAATAGAAAAGTCTTAATAGCACACATCTTTCCAACATAGGCCACTAATACTGTAGTTTCAATAAAATCAAGTTGCCATAATCTCAGTTAAAAAAACCCCAAAACACACCAATATCTCCTTTCTCTATTGATTGTTCCAGGCAGTGGCATCTAAAGAAGAACAAGAAAAACACATGGGTTTTATATCTCAGTTCTTGACCTCTAGATAAGAAAATCCCCTTGGTTAATTCCAGTACTCTCCAAGAGTCCTCCTATGAGGCTGATGGTCTTGAAAGCCACATTGTTTATGTGTAAGAGCAAACCATTTTTTTCACTGGAAATGGGCTGGTTCACCCTTTCCAGTTTTGTAGCTTTAACTGCCGTATGTAATGATACAGATGAAAATATGGAGGCTGTGTGGACAAGGCTGAGAGCATACGAGTTTTAGGATAGCTCTAAAAACTCATTCATATAAGTTCCTGGTTTAAAAAGCCCATTTTCTTATAATTCTATCTGATTTGAGCAATGAAAAAAAGGGTAAGAGGGGAGGTTTGTATTAGACAGGTGAAGTGGCTTCCGTGCTGTTGCATTTTGGCTAAGCGAGATACTCCTGAGAGCTCTTCAGGAAAGGGCTTTTCTACTACAAACTAGAAAGTATTATCTCGCTGACCTGGGGTTATGGCAATGTATTGACATTGAAGACTCATTCCATCCCTATGCACTGCCTAAATTCCCTACGTATAGCTTACAAAGCATATGGAATTTTCACAATAAATCTTGCACACAACTCCCTAGCATTCTGAAGAAGCAGAGATAAGGACATTCACATTCTTTGGAAACTTCTCACTTTTCCTGAATACAAAGGCATCGCTTAGTCAAGTTATCAGATTCCACCGTACCCTTAGCACTGCCCTTCCAAGTGACACTGTTTTCTTAGCTTAAATTTTATAGACATCATATGACATATATACATGGGAATGATTTTATACTATACATGTCCATAGGAGTTCCACATTGCTGAGCAATCATGCACTGAGTGTTTGAGATGAAAATGACACCCTACAAGGCATTAGATAAGCTGAAGGAACCAGGAGAGACAACAGAAGTCACCAGCAAAATTTAACAGGTGTTTTTCCAAAATCCAAGCTGACCCTCTGTGGAGTATAAGCAAGGTACAAACCTGGATCTCACTCCTAAAGGAGCTCCTGAATGTAGCTAAAGCAACATGGGAAACATATATGTTACAGAGAGTTGTCTCACTGGGTAAAGACAAGAGGAACATCCGAGGTGCTGCTAATCAGGAACCCATCTGCATGCCAGGGTGGCGACAGGAGAGGAATACTCACGTCCATGGCTGTGTGCACTTTCACACGCCTGTACTTTGGTAACACACTTCAGTGATTTCATCCTCCTAACTAGATAAGGTTGTAACTGTTCACTGATGATCTCCATTTGACTCATAAGTAGACATGAGCTGGAATCACCTGCTCAAGGTTACACAGCAGAGTGAGATCACTTCAGAGCTGGAATCAGGCCTCTAACCTGATCCAGTAGATTGTATTGCTCCATGGATGTGTGTAGCTTCTGAGAGAGTAAAACACTATGCCAAGTACTTATGAGCAAAAGGTAGCTCATGTCTGTTTACATAAAGACCATGATTGCCTCTATAGAGAGAAACAGCCAGGCCACAGAGCCATCCTAGGACTGTGCCGGGGCAAACTGTTCAGGTAGGCAGGGCAGCTGGTCCCTCATGAGCCCACAGGAGGGCTCAGTGCCTCAGACTCACAGGGAACCTTGACTGGCTGTGGCAGCTGGACACACTGAGCAATGCCTGGGTGTCACTGGTGCCAGAAGAGAGAGTATTCTTGGGCAGACAGGAGGGGGCGTGAGTCTGGA